CACCAGTGCCTTCAGTGCAGCTTGGACTTCTTCCTTCAGTACCATCGATTCCGGGTACGTATTCTACCTCTTGAAATGTTTGAACTTTGACCATTTCTTTTTTATAATGACTCTGTGTATTCCTTCCATCTTCTTTTGATGTTTCCAGCATCGTTAATATTTTCCCCATAGAATCCTTCACTATTGCAACTCAAGGCTTGAGTTTTTTCTTCAGTTCTTTTGACTTGAGAAATGCCAAGCATGCTCTTCCCTTTTGGTTTTCTATCTCCAGCTCTTTGCACATATCATATGTGCAAATATATGGACAGTCTAGTAGGCCAGAATTCTGAATTTGGGGCTCTGCTCTAGGGGAAGGCTTTCTCTCTCTGTTAGCTCTAGAGGAAGGTCCTTGTCTCGAGCTTCTGCTCCTGGGCATTTTCCATATGGCTTGGCATCTCTCTTCCACCGTCTCTGCTTCTTGCTTATTTAATCTCTTTTATATCTCAAAAGAGATTGATTTCAGACACACCCTGCGCTAATACTGTCTCATTAACGTAACAAAGAAAATCAATTCCCAAATGGGATTATAACCACAGTTACAGAGTTAGAATTTACAGCACATATTTTGGGGGGGACACAGTTAAATCCATAACAACCTAGATTACTGAAAGAGGTTTAGAAATGTTACAGTGTTCTAAGAACTTTAAAGTCAAGATAGTCCTGTGATTGGTGTTTGGGCTAAAACTAGATTTGATAAGTTCAAGAATATTAGATGGAAGAAACCAGAGATTGGGAAACAGCCAAAGCTGCCAAAGGAAAGTGAAAAGGTAGCAAGTGTTGGAGTAACTTAGGTGAGGTAACCCAGGTATAGCAGAGAACAGAAATAAGTGATGACGAGAGGGTAAAAGATAGTGCCATAGCATTTCATCAGGAATTTATTTAAAAAAACAACTTCCTGAGATAAATTCTGGAGTTATACAGATGTAGCCCCTGTAACATCAGACAATTAGAATTGTTGAATTTATTAACCCTGAAACACTAAAAAAAAATCACATCAATCACAAAAGGATATAAACAGATTAGAAAGCATTTTAGAAGAAAACAGGACAGAAAAGTTGGAGGATTAATTTCATAACTAGACCACTTTATTCTCAGAATATCCCATTTTAAAGTTCACTAAAATTTTATTTTGTATACATTTGTTTAGCAATGTTACATTTTAACTTCTTGTCATAAATTGCATTCTTTTTTTAAAACACTTAAAAATATTTAATTGTGAAATATTTCAGATACATGGAAAAAGTTAAAATATTTCAGGTTAATGTACACCCATGTACCTACTACACAGATTTATCAGATGTTAACATTTTGCCATATTTGCCATAGATCTTTTTTTAAAGAAATAAAATATACATACAGTTAAAGTACCATTTATACATGTTTTTGTGCTTTCTCTAAGTATATATCTATGAATGTAT